GCATCGCTAGTAGTAACAAGTGCCTTAGTAGTAGTAACAAGAAGCTACTAGGAGCATTCTTACTATCATGTCGGGATGATGGTTCCACCGAACGAACCGGGGATGGAGCGAACGACACCGACGACACCTGGAGCCCGACCAGTCCACCATGTAGCTGCTTACGACCGTCCACCGATCGGTCTGGTGCCATGACCCACAGTCTGACTCGACCAAGCAGGAAAAGAGGATGGCCTGGTCTTGGGAGTGGCATCCAAGAAGCCTGGATCGATGGATGAGATCCTCATGGGTTGCGATGTGAAGGCGGGAGTGAAGGATAGTGAAGGCGGGAGTGAAGGCGGTCGGAATGAAGATGGTGCCAGGGGTTCCCTGTGCAGAAGATGGATGGTTGAACCGGATGTTTTAAACACATTTGGAGTTTGAGGGCCTCTACTTTCGAAGGTGACCCATTGCAAACATGTGCGACGGGGCCTGGCCCCGACCTTGGAACGCGCAGCGATGGAAAAAGACAGTGACTCCTGCAAAATGATAGTTTTCAACAACCCTACTGTGGCACCAACAAGCCAGAAACTTCATGAATCAGCTGAATCAGTCGCCGTGCTGCAACTGACCACTCTGCAGCGTCAAGGACTCACCCAAAAGCGACCTTCTCCTTTGGAAGCTAGTGGCTGTATCTCGTCCCTGGCTGTGGGAACATCCCAGACACCTTTTGAAACACCCCAACCATTTTCAACTCATCATCTCATTTTGGTTTCCATTGGATGCAGTAAAGCTCCACCATTACCCAAAAACGGCAAACACCTCTTATAATTGCGCGAGGACGCCTGGAGTATCGGCTACAACGGCTGTGCCTTTTCGCCTGACCTGGAGGAGGAGCTGCCGGTGAAGTGGAGCCCAGTGTCTGGGACGGACCGACCGAACAGCCAGGCTCAGCCAGGGTCTGTGTTTCCGTCGTTTTGCTTCTGCCGGCCAGTACGATATATTGATGCGTTTCTCGTCAAAACCGAGTTGTTGGTGTGAGTGTAGATAGACGATAGAGGGCCAGATGGATGTGACATGTGCTGCGGAACTTGCCTCTGATCTCAGCAACTGCAGCACGGTACGTCTGAGCATAAAGGTATGTGAAACAAAGACCCTCAAACAACAAGACGCGGTCTGAGATTGGTTGGGGCTCTTGCGGGGGAAGAGGCTGAATACAAGAGTTAAATAGTATGAACCCAGTGTTAATGCTTTAGCTTTTACCCCTGTTCAACCTGTAAGTCTAGAAGAATTAACTCTGGAGATAATTATGTCAACTTTGCCACTTGCGCAAATAGAGAATTAACTCTGGAGTTAATTCTTTTGCACTGTGTCTTCTTGTTACCTTCTAGTTGTCTATCTCTTTCTTCTCTGTCCTTCTTGACCTTTATATAGTCGTTTGAGTTTTAGGTAGGTGACAGAGGATTAGGAAGATAAGAAGGTGGAAACAGTAGCCACAAAAAATGAGTTAATTCTTGTTCAGTTTGTCTCCTTTTTTCCTTTGCTTTGTCTATCTCCTTTTTGGTTTTCTTCTTCACCTTGAGCTGTTGGGAATTCTAGGCAGGTGACAGAAGATTAGGAAGATAAGAAGGTGGGACAAGCTAACCACCAAGAAAAGTAACTCTGGAGTTAATTCTTTTTCACTGTGCGTGCCACCTGTATGTGGCTTTATTCAGTTGCTATTCAGCCTCTTCGTGCACTTGCTGCGTACTATTGTAGTGGCGATCCATCATGCAAACATTTTGTAACCAAAACTCACACAGTACAAGAAAAGACTCACAAGCAAATCAGACAAAGAATTTACTCTGGATCTAATTCTTTTTCAAGGGGTACAGGAGGCAGGAAAGGAATTAAATCCTTATTCAATTATTTTTCAAGGGGTCCTGAAGGGGTCCGATACAGAAAGAAAGACACAGAATTAACTCTGGAGTTGCTTCCGGAAGAAGCAGGGGTGACAAAACTCTGTAATTAACTTGGAACTTGGGAGTCAATTCTGAGGCGCATGCTGATTTGTACCCCAGGACAAAGAATTAACACCACCAGAGTTAAGAAACAGTAATTCTGGTATTCACTCCATTTCCTTTGCGGGGCGCTGGAAAAGCTCAGGTGAACTTGCAGCGCGGCGACTGTGCAGGGCTTCTAGTCAAAGGCGACTGTGCACGGGGAGGATCAATCGTGAATGGTGAATGATTAATAAGCTGGGGGTCAAAGCCCTCTACACCAATGCAATGCCAATCATGTCCTTTTTATAGGACGCTACTAGGGGCTCCTGGCCTTACTACTAGGAACAAGAAGCTACTAG